AGGAAGGAAGGAAGGAAGGAAGGAAGGAAGGAAGGAAGGAAGGAAGGAGAGAGAGGGACTGTGATGGAAGAAAAGAAAAATAAATCTAAGTTTCTCTTCCCTGCACTTCCTCATTCAACCCTGAAAGACATGATCAAATACTATGCAAGTCACAAAATTATTATTTTTTAATTTAAAAAAAACAACCCCAAACATCCATTAAACCGAAGCAAAGTCTCTGGAACTGTCAGCCTGTTTCCCTCCCACTTCCCCACCCCCATTTCTTCCTCCAGCTCCTTAAACAGAAAACTGTCTCGGGTTTGCAAGACTGCAAGGGAGGAAAGAAATCTCAAAGGTGAACGAAGGACTCCCTGTGACGTAGAGGAGACCCCCACCGTGAGAAACCCTTGCGTTGTGCTGTGACAACTGTCCTTTTTCGGCTGTCGTCCCTCTCCAATTCTGCAGAATCCCAGGTGCTCGACTTGTAACAGGCCACTGAGTCAGAATCCGGGAACGTTGACTCAGCTCTTCCTGGAGATGAACCCTCCTCGCCTTCCAGACATTCGTGTCCCAGGGCTGAGTCACAGCCTCCGTTCCCATGAATCGCTCCTCCGAGGAGCCACACAAAAGAGGAAACATCTGGACACCTCGCAGTAGAGATCTGGCAGGCGGCACCGAAGAGGAGACGAGGGAGGCCGAGAGCTTCCAAGCACACACTCACACAAAGACCCACAAAACTCACTTGGCGAGCTAAGCTGAAAAAGGCAACGTGGATGAACCGCCACGTTCTACCACCAGTTCTCTCCCAGTCTCTCCATCTGGGACAAAACTCATCCTTTAAATTTTTTTATTTTATTTTAAAGCAAGCAATCCATCTTCCATTCAAACAGCGTGTTGCCTAGATACAAATATCTTGTGCAATAACAAATACAGTTCACACATATTCATTGTATTGGTATCGATTCTCTATTTTTACTTAATACTGATATACATAATACGTCTAATTATTAGAACAATCCCTATCTTAACGTATTTGATTCTATTGGCATGTTTTCTATATTTCACTAATCTTTTTTTAATTTCTCCCATATTTATTCTCGAGCCATCGATAAAAAGATTCCCATATCAAATAGCATTCAGTTTGTTCCTTCCCTTTAATTGCCAGCGTTAGCTTGTTCATTCCTGCACATTCTAATATTTTCCTGATCACATTCTCATCAGTTGGAATCTCTTCCCTTTTCCAGTTTTGTGCAAATACAAATCCTAACTGTAGTTAATACATCAATAATTAAATATACATTCTCTTTACTATCATTTTCAGGTGGGATCCCCAATAAAAAATATTTCAGGTTTTAAATCAATACGCTACGGTATCATCTTTTCCAACCATGTGTGTACTTTTGTCCAATATTGTTTGGTTTCTGCACATGTCCACCACATAATATGATAATATGACCCAGGTATCTGGTGGCATTTTGTTCTGACCCAAACCTTGTTCCAAGTAAACAAACACTAAACAGAGATAAAAGCAAAACCTTTTAATGCTTCTCTGCGAATTCCGTTAATTCATGGTTAAAAGGCTATTAAAACTAATTGCCTCTGATAAGAACAAGCCTGGCCAAGGTTGTGCAAGGCTGCCAAAAGCACTAGATTAAGTTGCCAAGAATTATTCCAAACAAAATGTCTTCAAACACAAACCAAGATAATCCGAACTTCCACAAGACTTGAAGTGCTAGAACTTCTTTGCTTCCTGCAAAGAACTCCGGTTTCTCAGCTGGCTTTTATCTCTTCAGGGAGGGGCCATTACCTTGTAGCCTTACTCCCGAGTCACCTGTGCTGCTGCAGCTGCTCTTTCCTTCGAGCAGCCCTGCGCACATGAGCACTTGGCACAGGCTTCTCGGGGTCCTCTTCATCACTGCTGCCAGCCTCCACAATCTCTGAAGGCAGCAGTCCACTCCCTAATGGTCCTGGTCCCTCATCTGAGTCCTCGGTCTCCGAGACCTCAGCCGCTCGCACCTGCTGCCGGCGAACCACAACACATTTCCAACATTTAGCTAGTTTATCTTTAAACATCCTTGCCAACCTTGCCGGTGCAAAATGCCACCTGTAGAACATCTTACCGGGACAACTCATCCTTGTCACCTTTCTACAGGTAGCCCTCAACTTACTACAGTTCTCTTACTGACCATTCAAAGTTACAACAAAAGTGACTGATGACTATTTTTCACACCGACAGCCGTTGCAGCCTCCCTGCAGTTGCGGGATTTACATTTAGAGGCTCGACAACTGACTCGCACTTATAACTGTCCCAGTGCCCTGGGGCAACCTTCTGACAAGCAAAATCCAGAGGAGGAAGCCAGATTCACTAAACAACCCAGTGGTGGGATTCAAAAACGTTTACTACCGGTTCTGTGGGTGTGGCTCGGTGGGCATGGCAGGGGAAGGATATTGCAAAATCCCCACTCCCTCCCCCGCCCCGCTAACCTGCTTTCCAGCTCTGTTCTCCTGGACAGGCAGGGGTGGGATACAACTGGTTCGGTCTGGTTCTATAGAACCGGTAGCTCCAAAGAGCAGCTGACACCCAATTGGTTCGCTGGGACGGAGGTTTTGGTCGTCTGCTGTTTGGCCTACCCGCCTGCCCGGGCTCTAGGCTGTCCTTTGGTGGCTGCATTTTCCTCCTCGGCTGCTTTGCGCGGCACAGCTGAAGTGCCACTCGTCAGCTGGAGAAGGTAAATGCTTGCCGGAGCCGGTAGCATGCATGTATGTGCAGTGCATGTTGGACATGCATGCGCCACTCCCCGAACCTGTTGTTATGCCGGTCAGATCTCAGTCCTGTGTGCAGGGCAACCAAAGAAGGCCTGCCGATCAGCTGGGACTCAGGAGGCCGAGAAAAGATGGGGTTGGCGGGGCCAGTCAAGAGGTGGGATAGGCCAGTTTCCTGAACTACTCAAAATTTCCACTACTTGTTCTCCAGAACCAGTCAGAACCAGCTGAATATCACCTCTGGAACAACCGTGTGACGAACGGCAGTGTCTCACCTTAACAATTGTGGCAAGGAAGGTTGCAACACGGAGCAATGCTCACTTAGCGACATAAATTTAGAGCTCAAATGTGACCGTACATCATACAGACTATCTGTACTTTCCTGCTAGAGCCTTTGGCTCCTGAAATCCCTCTGTAGGTGGAAGACTTCAGAGAGGAAATGTTGTGTTACACACACACACACACACACTGCTGTGGAAATTTGGAGCTTAGCCCTCCATTCAATTCTGGTATTTCCAGGAAGGGAGAGAAATCAGGGATGGTCCATCTGCTTTGCAAACGTTCTCCAGAGCTGTTCTCCAGGCCTCCACTGCAAGGGACGTCTGGATGGAATGAAACCAAGTTCGACCAACAGTGCTGCCTTTTTTCCACCCTGCCTTCCAAAGATATCTACAGCTAATCCTTGACTTACAACCATTTGGTTAGCAAACAATAAAGGAGAACATTTGTAGCACAGGGTTGAGATGAAGGGTTCTTGGTGGTCTCTGAGCTTGGTGTTTCAGGACCCAACTAGGTAACATCATCAGTGCTAGAAGGGAGTGGGGGGGGAGGAGGAAGAGGAGGAGGAGGACATCTGTGAGGTCCTTGGTGCTCTCTGAGCCTAGTGATTTTCTTGCAGACTTTTCATTACCCAACTAAGTAGTATCATCAGTGCTATAAGGGAGTAGAATTTACAAGGAGGAGGAGGAGGAGGAGATGACGACAGTGAAAATCCAGACTCCGACTAGCAAGTCGTGTCCTGCAAGAGATGGTAACACACTGACAAATAAATATACCACCCCTCTTTTTACACAGAGTTGTAATCCCGCAATCCTAATGCACGCTTCGGAATCAACCCTTGGCAGCTGTTTAGCTGGGATGGACTCAACCCCAAACCTGGAAACGAAATTCCGGCTTTTCCAACTGACCGTTCGTTCCTCTGCCTGGGAAGAAATCATAGCAACCTAATTCCATCTGACATGTGTCAGGAAGGATGAAGTGCAGTGAACGTACAATATAGGGGGAAAAAATGGTTTCTCCTCACTCCCCCCACCTTCGCAGATTCCAGGCCGATAACTGATCAAATTGGGAATGCAATCAAATCAGAGTGGATCTCCCCACCCCACCCCCAGTGGATATTTCAGATGGACAACTTCAAGGGGTCCTTTATTAAGCCACACGCACATACATAATCAAAAAAGGC